TCTCTCTTCGGTCCGCGCTGGTCTCTGCGCACCGGTCTCTCCAGTCAGGTCACTCCAGTCTATGCGGTCTCTCCTATAGGTCCGCGCTGGTTTCTGTGTGCTGGTCACTCCAGTCTCTCCTCGGGTCTGCATTGGTCTCAGCGCTGGTCCGCGCTGGATCTCCTCCCAGGGTCCAAAATATTTTGAGATTAATCTCAAAACATTTTGAGATTCATCTTTAAAATAATACATAATATATTTTTAAATTAAGCTCATAACATTTTGAGATTAATCTCATCATATTCTTAGATTAATCTCATAATTTTGCTAGTTCGACTTTATTCTCATAATATTTCGACTTTTAAGTCAACATTTTATAACTTTATTCTCAGTCTGGCAAAAGAAGAAAAAAGGGTGACTCTTTTGCTCCGTGTAACTCTTTGCTTTAGGCCTCTTGCTGTTTCCTCTGCCGTCTGCACACGGCCCTGCAGTCCCTTTTATGGGCATTAATGGGCAGTTACTTATGCTAAGTACCTATGCTAATGAAGCACCTGGCACGCGCGCTCTACTTACGAGGAAATGGGATTCATCAATCTAAGAGAACAGCTGCGAACAATTCAGCGGTTTACGAGTGCGTTGATGAATCCCACGTAGGGACTTCTTAGAAATCTACTTAAGGACAACTTGAGAAGAAATTTGAGAAGTTTCTTACGAAGTTATTCGTGAATGAGGCCCAATGTTAGCAATGGGCCTCATTCACGAATAACTTCGTAAGAAACTTCTTAAATTTCTTACATTTCCTGAACATTCGTAGGATTTGTACTTACCCAAGAGAAATTCTGGTTACGAGAAAATTTCATGAATGCCACAATCTTCGTAAAATCTTTGTAAGTAGGATTTACGCACAAATTTGTTCTTAAGTACGGTTCGTGAATGAGGCCCATTGTCCCTCTGTAAACGGTCTACGTTAGCATTGTCCATATACAATCTAAGTTAGCATAGTCTATATACTGTCTACGTTGGCATTGTCCCTCTGCGTTAGCATTGTCCATATACAGTCTACATTAGCATTATCCATTTGTATACAGTCTACACCCTGACATCATCAATTAGTTTACACTTTTAACTCCTTGAATACTTGATCTAATTTAACAGGAAAAAGAGTTGTGCAGGTACCTTGGCCATCATCGAGACAACAGAAGTTCCATGATATAATTTATGTGTACAAAGATAAACTAAAACTGTACTATTTAAGATAACGAAGGCCCATCCCTCCACAAGCAGACATCATGGGGGAAAGTTAAACAGATCTGAGCAGACTCTGCCAGTGGAGGCTTTCGATCTGCGGAGGTACTTCCTGTGCAGAGAGGTCCGTCCCCAGAGAACAGCTTCAGACTAAACAGCCTACACTCAGCTGCTCCTTCGCCTCATCCAAACGACCGAGCGCCTGACAAGCAATTCCAACAGAAAAAACAAGCCACTTTTTCCACCAATTATAGAAAGCAGAGTAGAGTGTGGGAGGAAGCAAAAACATCTAAATATTATAGACACTGGCATTTGGTGAAGCCTCAAGCCCAGCCTCTGTCAGAGAAATGGCCTCATTTCTGCGCAGCCGGTGCCAACGCAAACAACTGTTCTGGCAACATTTCATTGTCAGCACTTGAGGTTTGCGTTGGATTTTAAAGGGTCTGCAGCCCATTTCTTTTCCCCCTACGTACCCCCACACCCCCATCTATGCGATTTGTTCTTGTCCGGGTTCTGGGACAGTCTTTCATCACCTACAGACTCCGTGGTTTAAACTATTCAAGGAGAAAGCAGACATTTGTAGAAATACGGTACGAATTAGAAGTTATTTGTTTTCCTTGTGTGGCCCTATGGGGATGTTTCTTTCAGACAATGCACACTCAGTCTAGGTTCGACAGGAGCCAAGTCATCTGGTTTAGTTTGCGTTCATAAACAATTATTTTCTTCTGCGCGTTTTTGTTTACTGGGTGTTTTAAACTGTGCAGCAAAAACACAAGCATACATGTTTCGTGTAGAACTAGTCTTTATCCTATATGTTTGAGGGTTTCCTTTCCAATACTAAACTACAGAGCAGTCTGGAAGTCTGTTCAAAATATGAACAAGCTCTTTTTGGGGGGCCCTCTACAGCTGCCTTTAATAGAATTTCTGGGTTTGCATTTTTGGGCTCTTGATAATTTAAAAGACAGTAATAGCCTGGATATCCGCGTTTCTTGGCCCACTGAGCAAGGACAGGAGGCATAAGAACAGAAAAAAGGGGTCCCTATCACAGCTTTTGTTAAAATACGTAGTTGGTACCTGTGGATCAAAAGGTGTGATTTCTAAACTGTATTCTCATATTTCTGAGAGAAATATGAGGCATGGCAATGTCAACATTATTCATGAGATACAGTACATCTGAAAAGGTAATCAAAAAGGGAAATCCCCCAACTCATTTAAAAAATATATATATGTAAGTATATGTAGGTAGGTATGTAACAATGTATGCGTACATGTTTGGGTGTGTGCGTGTGGCAGGAGATACATTTACAGTATGTATTTTCCATATGTCTGTAATTTGTATCCATCCATCCATCCAGGTTTATAAACAGAAATCAAATATGGAATTTACAGTAATTACATACTATACATGATAGAAGAACATGTACATACATTCATACATAAAGTAGTTACAGTTAGCTAAGAAACATAGCAGCTACTTATATTGTATATTGTGTGTGTTCCCTGTGTGCTCATACTACGCTTTTTAAAGTGGGAAGAAGTCAAACTTATAAGCTCCCACTCCATATATTTGATGCTGGATGTAATTGTGATATTAGGACTGTGGAGGAGCTGAGGAGCTCCTTCAGTGGAAGACTGAGGCACCCTCCGTGTAGGAAGGAGCACTACCACAGGGCCTTCATCCCTGCTGCTGTCAGACTGTACAACAAGTCACTTTAAGTCACAAATGACCTGCACAAGAACTGAAGAACCAGCACTACTATTGGCACTTTTCTACTGTACATAATTATATCCTGCACAGACTATATTATTAACCTTATAATGTTGCACTCTTCTGTCTTTTTGCACAATCTGAGTGATTCAATCTATGCCAAATGTGACATGGGAATTTCTCCATTGTGAGATCAATAAAGTTTATCTTATCTTATTATTTCTGTTATCTGTGTTTTGTCATATAAAAAAAACAAGTGAAATCTGGAAGCCATACACTTCAGTCACACTCGCGTCCAGGAGAACCAAGCAGAGCTGAAGCCGTCACGTCCACCTTAACCAAGACAAACGGCCTCATGTGAAATCCTCCCGTGCCCGTCACAGGCGCTCAGGCTCGTGCACTCACACTTCTCAGCATAATGCATCAGGAGGTCCCCGGACGGACTCGGCTGAGCTGTTTGCCCCTTCCCCCATCTCCCCCTGTCTCTCCGAGCACTGACCACATCACAAGCTGCAGCAGGTCCAAACACTGGGGCTGCAATAACCGGGCTGAGTGTGCATGAGGGTGAGGGGGACCGTAAATGCATTCCAGGTTTAGGGGACACTGTCAGGGGCACGGAATGTATCTTTGCTTCCACACAACTCCCAACTTAGCGGAATCACAAACACTGCTGACTGCACAAGACTCAGCAGTATCGCTCGCTTTACTTTTAACAGAGATTTGCATCCTGGGAGTTGTGGTTTGTCCATGCATACCAGGACATGTCACTGTGGTATGCACCTGAGGGCTGCTGTGGCTCATCTATCTTGATGGTGGAGCAAGGTCTTAGTGGACACTGAACTGCTGACACCGTGGCCCCCAGTCACACCCTGCTCCTAAACTCCGCTCAGAGCACAGCACGCAGCAAAAAACTGTGATATGCGTTTCATCTGCATATTGATCACTCCAGCCGGAAGAAGCTGGACCTCAGCACTTCACAGAATACATCATGTAAATAAGTCAGGAACCATGTTAAAACAACTGCCAGAACCCTGTTTACACCTGAACTAATATAACAATGGATATTTTTATATATATATATGTACATGCAACCAGGCTGATTAAACAAAGGGGAAACAACCAATTTATTTTTAATAAAACTAAAGGGTGCGAAAAGGTTGAAAATCCCCGGGGTAAGCATGTTAGCTTTCTGCTGAAGCAAACTACTCTCAGCCAACTGAAAGTCAAAATCCCAGGCAGGCAAAGTCAAAAGGTCTTCCACAAACTCCAAGGACTCACTAGGCTTTTTTTCCTGATAACAAGAGGTTTTATAACTTTGTAAATCCCAAACAGAAACAAGTTATTTATTTATTTTAAACCTTTTTGCTTGCAGGACCCTGTAGGACCTTGTAAGACCCTATAGGATACATTCTTGGTACTCAAATTTGGACTGAGGATTTTTTAGAGTCTCCAAATAAGTGCCTCAATATTAAAATATAAATACATTGAAATAGCCTTATATCACTTTGGACTAGAGCAGAGAAAATGGTCCAAACCAATTGGCTTTAATACTAGTGTAGGCTATTTTCGAAAATTATCTATTTATTTGTTTTGTTTTGTTTGTATGGATGGATGTGTTTTTGCTGCTACTGGGAAGCTGCATTTCTCCTACGAGGATCAATAATGTATCTATCTATATCTATATCTATCTATCGAATACTCAGTCTCACACACCAAATACAGCATTATTTGTGCATTTCAATTTTTGAATGTGGAAAAATCTTCTCAGCCTCGTTCTTTATGTTTGAAATGTATGGGTCTCTGACACAATCAACATAATAAAAACATTAAAAAATTAGAAATAAAATGTACTTATACACCCCTTATACACACTAACTGGAATGTGCAAAAATGCTTAGTTTAGACCAACACACAGACAAGTTTAGTTCGATCCCAATTCAAGTCAGTCATGCCAAACACAGAACTGCCAAATTGTCAACTTGCTGTTCTCATACTTCACCCATTCCTCAAATATTGACTGTGTTTTTCAAATGAAAGTAAGAACTCTTCAGTTCAGCAGAGTGCTTACCCCAGTCTTCCTAGCTGCTCCAGTTCTGGGACGGCCGGTCCATAGGTGTCCACCTTCAGAGGCCTGTACTGGTACAGAACCTCCTGAATCCTGGGAACAGGCTGAAGTGACACCGTCTGGTTCTAAATCAACAGAGAGAACACAATCTTGTAAAAATGTCAGCCCTTGTAACAGCGTAGACTCTCTGTCAAAATGCATCAACAGGAGCTGCCAAGTACCTGTACACCTGGTACCAGCGTTATGGTTAAAATGGTTTCTACCGCTACAACTTTGGTATTGTTCTTTAGGACATTCTCAACATCATCTTGTTAGAAAGATGAGAGGGGTTGGAATTCAAATGTTTCTAAAACATTTAAAACTGACGAGCTCCCTTTTCAGATGCATTTTTAAAGAAAATTAAAAAGTGCTTTATACTTAGAAAACAATCTTTCAGGATACAATCTTGGATCTTAACCACAAACTGGACTGGACTCATAACACAGACGCCCTCTTCAAGAAGGTCCAGAGTCACCTCTACCTACTGAGGAGGCTCAGGTCTTTTGGAGCCACTCCAGAAGACCTTCTATGACTCTGTGGTGGCATCAGCCATCTTGTACGGTGTGGTCTGCTGGAGCAGCAGCATCACAGAGAGGGACAGGAAGAAGCTGGACAAGGTCATCAGGAAGTCCAGCTCAGTCCTGGGCTGTTCCCTGGACACAGTGCAGCAGGTGGGGGACAGGAGGGTCCTGAGCAAACTAACATCTATGCTGGACCATGACTGTCACCCCCTGCAGGACACTCTCTCTGCTCTGGAGAGCAGTTTCAGTGACAGACTAATTCACTCTTGCTGTGTGAAGGAGAGGTTCCGTAGGTCTTTCCTTCCTGCTGCTGTCAGACTGTACAATAAGAACTGCTGAGCCTGTAAATTTCGTTCATCTGTAATTAAGTAAATTCTTAAATCATGTGCAATGTGCAATACTGCAACTTCAGGATGTCACAGAACAATGTCACTTTACCTCATGTCACTTTACTTATATACTTTTTATCCTGCACTATTTAACTGTACAGTATATAACTGCACTACTACATATATATTTTTTGACTGGTATTGAAGCATTTTCAGAATCTACAGCTAGTTATGTAAGTTAAGAAACATAGCTACTACTTATTTGTATATAGTGTATATATTGTGTGTGCTTCCTGTGTGCTCTTACTACTGTCCTATATGTGCGATGCAACATCGAAATTTCCCCACTGTGGGACGAATAAAGGAATTCTTATCTTATCTTATCTTATACATCAATATCCAAAAACTATCCGTTTGAAGTGGGCAGGACTCTGCGTTTCCACAACACAAAACTGCTTTTGTCATTATTAACTTGACCAACACACAGGCAAGAGTGGTTTGTCCAGCTCCAGCTAAAGTCATGTCTCTATGGACAACAAAACAATTACATGGATCTATACACAATTCTGAGCAACAACTTCTACCTATTCCACGCGCTCTTTCTAAATTAACAATGAGCTGTTGTTTTGAAGCTGCATGTCTATATAGACACTGTAAAAGTATGAAAAATACTGTATAATATAGACTGTAAACGGCATGAAACATTGAAATACAAATGTGATTCAAAAGGTTTTTAAAAATTGTCTTGACAAAATATTTAATTGAAATCTCCCGGAGTTGTGACTAGGAGATTTGCGAAACAGTTTAGCTAAAATTAATCAAGAAAAATATGAGAAGTCTTTGTTTATATTTAGTCCCTTTTTTGTTTACAAATATAATTGCAATCGGTGCGATTTTCTATAAAAAAAATGGTCATTGTCATCAGATGCGTCTCTTGCCTGATTGCTTTACTTCACTCCTGTTTACTGCTTCTCTGAAAATATAGAGCGTGCTTCTCGAGAGCAAAATCAGACATCTGCTTTTCTCATGACGGAGCCCCAGAACAGACAGCATCACTCTCTGCTTTAATCTGTGCCGTTATTAACCGTACGACAGGCCCCACTGACATACAAATGTAGCCCCAGAGACCATCCGTCTTTACATTCTGCCACATGGGCCGGAAAACAGCTACAATCCTGCATTACATACAGTATGTCCAATAGAAGTGCTGATGATCAATGTAAAAATGTATATTGTAAATTAAAAAATTACGTCTGAAATGTGAGTGAATGTGAAATCAAATTGAATCAAACCAAACATACTCTGCCTCTTTTATTGAAATATGTTAGTAATATCTACTTAACAGCCGTTGGAAGTACAGTAATCTATATATGTGAGCGTGGACAGTGGCTGCTGTTGTCCTTTATCATGTGACTCAGCAGAACTCACCAAGGTCCTCTGTGAGCCACCATCAGCACGGCAAACTGCATAAGGTCTACCTATAGACTTTAGAGGGCAGCGCTTGGACTGGAGTTATCCACTCTGTACTGCTGCTGCCCATGCTTCCGTGAGGATAAAGGGCTTTGGACTGCAATACAGGCTAAAAGTACCAAGTAGCAAGTGTAAACGTGAGTGCCCAGCCTGCCTCAACAGTTTAAATATATCGCCTGGACCAACAGCAGCTGCCTTGCACAAAGCTTCTAAAGCTGAAAAGTCCTCCTTCCTCTGGGCTGGGCGTCACTGCCCGGGAACAACCAGAGCCCGAATGGGCAGGGGCAGGAGTGTGAATGCCCACATGTGCTAGTGCCAATCAGGCCTCACAATCCACCCCTTAAATGACCCTCCTCGAGAGTCAGGGACAGCAAAGTGAACTTGAAGGTCTCAGCACTGACACCAGATACAATTTAGTTTAGTGAATATTGTTCTGGCTAAACCAAGATGTGATTATGTGTGATGCGATGACAGACTGTTTTAATGGTTTTTGGTATAATCCATGCAGTGTTCAGGATTATATGTGCAGTATGTATTAGTTTCTTGTGATTATAAACACATATAAACAACAAACAGTGGAAACAAGACGTTTAAATAGTTTAACTATATTTTCTCTCTAAAATAAGACTTATGACTTTGTAGAAAGTAATACGAAAAATCAGAAATATAGATATAGAAAATATATTTAGATATATAAAGAAATAAAAAGTATATATATATATATATAAATATAAATGACCTGAGTTTGCACATTCTACTGTATGGACATTCATTCATTCCTTCTGTTCTACCTGGCGAACAGCAAAGTGTGAGTCCCCATTCACTTCTGAGATAAAAGAATCCTGTGTGCTGGGGGTATGGAGCCAGAACCGGTTCATCCAGTCTGTGGCTCACAGAAAAGCAGCACAAAGTGGTGCCTGCTCTGGCAGGTGCCAAGTGATCTAAGGTCACAGTGTGGACTGTGGAGGGCAGATTACCTGAACCAAACCTGAGCAAACATCCTCATTATATACGTCTTCAGTGGTTAATAAAATACTCACACTGTGCATAACCGTAAGAACTACGCTTAATGTTTTGTCATTTTGTCTAGATGAAAATATTCCACCCCCATGCAGCGGTCACAGTGTTTACGTGTGCGAGTGCCTACATTAGACCACGGCAGCCTTGCTGGGTATGTCAGCTGCTCTGCCGCCTGTAAACAAGGACTGACCCTCAGCAAAACTGTACAACAACAACCGCTTCATAAGGTTTGTTCTGAGGACGACTTTATTATTGGTAATTAAAACATAACATTAAAAAACAGAGTTTAATCCAAATAGTAAACGTGAAATAATGTTGTTGTAACTGGTAGTCCCTGCCTGTTTGAACAGTGATCATAAAGCCTTGGCTCAGAGGGCCTTTTCATTTGCACAGATGTCTTTTTGAACAACACACTTTATTCTTTTGAAGAAGAAAGTGTCTGGATGTGTGCACCCCGCACTCTGCCTGTCTGGGTCTATGCCTGCACTCTCGTGTATTTGGCTTCATTCAAAAAAGCATCTACAAAGTGAGGGATTAGTCAGTGATTTCAGACCATTCCTGGGGCAAGACCAGGCCCATCCCACTTCACATAACACCTGGAAAGACCACTTTCTTTTTAAGATCAGAAAACCTCCTCTCGGCTTCCCATTCTGCCGCCTTTCATCAGCACTATGACCGTCATCCCAGCACCACTGTGGGTCTCCTCACATACGCGCAGTAAACAACCTGACACCACACAACACACCATGAGGTCAGCTGTATTTAAAGTCTCAGGCACTGAGAAACTGTGACATGACTGGCACTCCTGCACCCCCTCCGACTGATCACAGGCCCCATGTAGCGGCCCTGAGCAGGGGCTTACCTTGGCCCCAGGGTGAAGCAGCTGCCAGCAGAGGGGCTTCTCGCTCATCACCAGCAGATCCACAGAGGTCAAGCATGGCACATGTCCATTCATCACTGTCACTATTAAAACTCCCTCTACATAACATGGAACATGTCAACTTTAGTTTTGCAAACACAACCAAACAAAAACCAAACAACTCACTACATGCATCTCCAACACCAAGTTACTCAAAACTCAAACTAATCTTAGTTTTAAACGCCAGCACAAATAGAGTATTATTACCATAAAACAATACCACAATACTTGCATTTTAGATATTTATTTAATATTGACTTATGCAAATCAATATGATATATGTTTATAAGACTCCAGTTTCCAATAACTCTATTGATATATCTAACCAGGCAGAGACTAGTACTGTGATGGGAGACCTCTGAGAACACCAGGTGCCACAGTGGGGCAACCTCCAAACTGTTATTTAGTCCTTAGGCAAGACACTTTGCCCATGAGTCAAGGAAGAGTCTGGTGCGTGTGTGAGTGGTGGGTGTTGATCGAGGAGTAGCACACACTGGTAATCATCAGCACACGTGTTACAAAGTCTAATGACCAAAGGGACCACAGCCTGACAGATTCATTTCTTCAGGAATGTGCTGCTCTATTCGGAAATCTCACCAACTCAAACAACGGTTCTAGAGTCTGGGTCTGGACTGAGGAAACTCCAGAGCCACGGTTCCACAGCAGCACACTGCTTTCCCAGCTCAGAGCAGGGCTCCGTGGAGAAGGGCCAACACCATCAGGCCTCTTCTGCATCAGCGACTTGAGCCACACTGAACTGCTCCACTATAACCAACATTGCTTTCCACCGCCACATGTGCCTAAGACATTTCTCAGAAGCTTCAGCATCTGTGCCATGTCGACAACTGTCTCTACAGTTATTAAAAGAGGCACAAGATAATACACAGCAACCACCATTTTTGTACATAATAATAATAACTTTCCCAGCGCACACTGAAGTCACTATTCATTCACTAATTGTGCACTAAGGTACCCAGTGGTGGTAAACTACTAAAGTAGCCACAGCTGTGCAGGGGCAGATTAACAGAAGCAAGGCAGCTAGTCAGCGCCATCTGCTACTTCGACCACCACCATCCTTTACTCACTCACCACATTCTTTCAAATGAATGTTTAACATATTGAGAAAACCGGAGCCCTGATAGAAACCCACCCAGACACAGAGAGAAAAGAAATGGCCCGGTCCAGAATGGGATCGAACCTAGGACCTTCTTGCTGTGAAGCATGAATAAATTAATAACCTGGCTATGTTGTTGCTGTGTGCTTTGTACTTGCAATTCCTCATTATTTTCTAAACCTATATTCATCTGTAAATAAGTAAATTCTTAAATCATGTGCAATGTGCAATACTGCAACTTCAGAATATCCACTGAACAATGTCACTTTACTTATCTGCCTATTATCCTGCACTATATGTACAGTACATAACTCTGCACTACTACAGTTATGCTAGTTAAGAAACATAGCTACTACGTATTTTGTATGTATTGTGTGCTCCCTGTGTGCTCTTACTACTGTCCTGTCTGTGCGTTGCAACATCAAAATTTCCCCACTGTGGGACGAATAAAGGAACTCTTATCTTATCTTTCAACCTATAAACTCAATACTCAGGGTATCGTCCAAAGAGTAGCCTTTGCAGAGGCCAATATGTACTGGGAACAGCAAAGAGAGACCTCATAGGTTCTCATACCCTAGGAGAACCTGGTAAGAGCAGGTATGGACAGTTTGGAAAACTCCCACGCTCCCTCCAGAACCCAATGGAGAGTACAGAGTAAGTGTTCCACGGTATAGAGTAAGTGCACAGCTGAGGAAATGTTCCATTTGCAGCCTTAGGAGGACGGGTGACACCGCAGCTCCCATAAGTTAGTAGTAATAAGGTTAATAGTTAATAGTAATAAGTAGTGTATTATTACTTTTACAAAGACAGCAAGGATTATATAGCCCTCCTCATGGTCATCCAGTTTAAAATCTCTTTTCTGACTCCAAAAGGAAGAAAACATTGTATGCAGCACAATATGAAACGTTATCTTCCATGTTAGATGCTTTAATAAACTCAAAGTATTGGGACTGTACCTGTTGAATTCCCGTGGAAAACAGGCTGGCAGGTTTGACGCTCTGTTTTTGATGCTCGATCTCTGTCTCCAGTTGAGCTGCGCGGGCTTTGTGCTGCGCCAGCAGGATGGTGGCAGGAAGCTGAGACTGCTCCTGGAACACACATACATCAAACTTTTCATGTTGGTGCTCTCGCCTCTTAGCAAGAAGGTCCTAGGTTTGAATCCCGGTCGGAACGGGGTCTTTCTGAGTGGAGTTTGCAGGTTCTCCCCGTGCTTCCGTACGTTTCCTCCAGGTACTCCAGTTTCCCCTACCACTAAAAACATGCACACTAGGTTAAATCCTCCAGCTCTGGTCCTGACCAAGCCGAGCATCAACATCTGGAGATGGGTTCCTGGGCGCTGTACTACGGCGACCACTGCTCCTGACGTGAACCTCCGCTGCATCAGGATGGGTCAAATGCAGAGGATGAATTGCCCTACGTGGATTAATAAAGAGCACCTTTACCTTTACCTTTAAAAGGTGCCTTGCTCAAGTGTCCTGGTGGAGGGACTTTGCTTGGGTCTAAATTTTGTTTTCACAGAATATCTATACAGTTTGTCAATAAACCTTTTACATATAACTTACATCATATATCTAAGACGTGTTGTGAGTGACATTTCATGCAAAGCAATAATATCTATCGGCCCACCACAAACACATCAGAATACTATGAAAAACAAGCTCAGTGTCTTTAACCACAAACTCAAGGTCAACTGTTTGGACAGCTGCTAGCTTAGACGACCCAATAATTTAGACACCGTTGGACATACCGGTAGCTGACGTGAACAGCACAACCAGAAGTCAGGGGGTTACATTTAATGGGTTGCTTTATTTACCTGATTAAAGTATGATCAAAACAGTAAATATATTGATTATTAAGTAATTAATCCATATTCTAAAGAGGAATAGAAGCAGCTACAATTCCCATTTCAAGAACTTTGTAAATCAGTACAGTAATAGCAACACCAACTGTGAATAAAAAGAGCCACAAGTCAATGTGTTTTGGAGCCACAGGGAGGTACAGATGACAGAGCTCATGGGAGACCCCCTGGGGGGCTACAGTCAACAGCCCTTTGCTTTAAAACAAACAAACAGGAGGTTTAGCCTCTGTCTCTGACGGCTTCTGCAGCCCACTCCCCAGGAACAATTATTGCTAAAGACTGCAGCTCAATACAATGGAGCTAAAAGAGTCTGAAACGAGAGAGAGGACAATAGAGCGGCTGCACAATGAGATACTAAAGCTCTTAATGAAGCTGGGGTGGTGCCAGCCCCCTCCTCTGCACACCTGTCACACTATGTCAGGTATGTGTGACACCCACCAGCTCATCCAGCAGAGCCTGCTTGTTCTTCCTCTTGGTCTGAAGCTGCCTTTGCTCCTCCTGCAGGACCTCCAGTCTGCGCTGCTCATTGCCCTGTTGTTCCAGGAGCAGCAGCTCCTCCAGCTCCTCCTGTTCTCGGGTCTGTGGAGGAGCACAGAGGACATGATGGTCTCACTGAGACACATTTCTCGGATGAAGTCATACTGACCAGTTTGGCCTTGTTCTTCTGGATTACATCTCGATTCTCTCTCTGGTACTGCTCCATCCTCAGTTTGGTGTCCTCAACATCAACATTATTTGTCAAGTTAAAAACTGTAAATTACATAATAACACAAACAAATATTTAAAAAAGGCTCCATTTACAAACCAACTCAATGAAGCGACTATAGTAAAACATTAATGAGAGATTTGGAGAGTTCTGACATTTGAGCAAATATAAATATCGCCATTTCTGTGATTTTTATTTGTGAAAACCTTTAGTGCTCTGTTACCTATATCTTCCACTTGCTCCAAGTAATCGTTATATTCTCGCAGGCTGGGAAAGTCAAAATCTCTCTTGTTATATCTGTGAGGACAGAACAACAGAAAAAACCATAAGGGGAAAAGCACCAACATTAATAACCCCCATTAAATCAACCATTGTATCACAGCATGTCTGCCCGCTGCCTAACAGACACACATTAGATGTCAATTAAGGAGCTATTAAAGACCAGATGAGAGACAGGCAGGGAGGGGCAGAGAAGTAAAACCCTGGCAGGGAAAAAGCCTTCCCATTTGAGCCCCCCCGGGGAGACTTATTGTCTACAAAACAAACACAGTAATGAGAAAGACAAAGGTGGCTTAAGAAGAAGGAGGAGGCGCGGGATCACACATAAACCGGCCCCACCCACAGCCCGTGCAGCGTCACACATACATCTTCAGCACTTTTTTGCGGATTTCCACCTCCTTGTCGACTGCGGGGTCCTCGAAGAGCTGCACGCGAAAGTTGCTCTTCCTCAAGGGCGTGTCACATTGCACACAGCTCCCCGATCCTCGAACAAACAGCATCTCCACACAGTTCTCACATCTGCAGACAACACACAGGGGTTTCAGGTGTACGACCATAAAGCCAAGACTTATCAGAGAGGAGGAGCAGAGCGGCGCGAGGAGAAGCAGAAAGAGCATCTCCAGAAAGTTCAAATCTGCAGACAACACACACAGGTTTCAGAAGTATCATGAAAATAGGTAAATTCAGAGGAGGAGCAGAGTGGAGCCTAGAGGAGCACAAAGGTCTCATGTAAATGTGAACTTTATTTATCCAGTGGGGATCTTTGTCCTCTGCATTTGACCCATCCTGCAAATGCCACTCAAGCCTCTATTAGGAGCAATGGTTTCGTTAGCGCTCGGGAACCCGTCTCTATGTTGGGATAATGATGCTTGGCTTGGTCAGAACTTCAGAAAACAGGGAAGCAATGCACACTCAGCTCATATGTCCAGAATCATATGTATTCATGACGTTCGGCTTTATGCCTTCATCAGATCATATTTTTCTTTTGACCACAAAATACTGAACTACCAGAACTGGAGGAATTACCTGTATGTTATTATTGGAAGGGGAAACCGGAGGACCCAGAGGAAACCAATGCAGAGTATGCAAACTCCACTCAGAAAGGTCCTTTCTGAGAGGAGAAGCTAGAAGGAGCACAATTACTGTACACCTTCCATCACTACACCAGAAATGAAACTGTATTATATTTTTAAATTGTATTTTTGTTCAAACAGGGAACAGCGTTAGAGCAGGGCCAAAAAACCTGTGCATTTTTTACATATCTAAATATGTATTGTAATGTTTCCAAGCCCTACTGCACATGGACTACTGACTAATAATGAAATTCATGAAGAAAGAATTTTAGCATTTGCTTCATAAATCATTTTCTGATTGGACTAAATCTTAATTGTAAATTACTGTATGTAACTTTGGTCTTTTTGAAAATATGGGACCCAGGAAGACGAGCGGATAGCAATGCTCTGAGCTAATGGGATTCATATAAATAAACAAATAAACATCAACATCTGCACCTCCATGAAGCTAAACCTCGAGTGGAGGAGCACAATGGAGGAGCAGAGTTGAGCCTGGAGGAGCAGAGGAGCTGGGTGCTAATGGGCTGAGTGCTCGCAAAGGTTGGGGTTATGATTGGTCGATTATGCTGCTGCCGCTCTCAGACAAAGGGAAATTACACTGACACCACAGCAGCAGTGTCTGGGCCCTTGTTTTTGTAACATCGTATTAAAGAACAAACAAAGCTCAATAGGAAGCAGAGATCTATCGTTGGCAGTTGGCAAATGCTAAGATTGGCGCAAACTGTCATTGGAGTGTGAATTGTTCTTCCTTGCTGATGCAGGAGGGTCCAAGGACAGTGGTGATGATGAGGCATGTTTTGGGTAGTGAGGGAACCCGGAGCACCCAGAGGAAACCCAACCTGACACTGGGAGAACATTGAAACTCCACACAGAAAGATCTGGGGCGGAATTGGAATGGAACCCACCACCTTCTTGCTGTGAGGCCAGGAGGGTAAGGACAATGGCATCCAGGATATTTAGGGATGATTACACACATTGGTCATCTGCCCCTTGCGGATCAATGGTTCTATGAGTTCTTTACTATTACATTTCCTGTGTTTTACTGTTTGATTTTCTGATCTGTGTTGGCAAAATGACAACTTTGTAAAGTCCTCCAGAATAACTACCGTTGTGATTTAGGGCTATACAAAAATACATTGAATTGAATTGTATTGCAGTGTAGAACAGATACAACATTAGAATGGTATTTGAAAACAATACAAACTAAAGCAACAAAAAGGTCAAATTGAATTAAAAACTAAGGGTACAAAAAGGGTATAAAATGACTCATCGTACTGAGGTAAATATTCTGGTCCTTGCCGATTTAACAAGAACATGCTCATCCCAATAACGTCTTTACCAGCATTACATCATTAGAGTGAGTTTGGTGAAGGCCCCAAGCCACAGCCATCAATCAACTGCACTGTATACAGGTGCGTTTACCCATCACAGTGCTGCTGCGGCGCCTGATGGGGCTGGCCTGGAGAAACGTTTGCACAAGGAGAGCTTTATATCCACAGGAGATCATTCACTTGATAATCACCAGCCATCTCCCAGAGGAGAAGGCTTTAGGAAGGCACCAAATATGCTAATGAAATGGGGTTGTATATTTGCCTGGCCAGTCAACTACATTGGGGGTGATAAAAAGATAATGCAATATTTTACAAAGACTAATTTTTTAAGTAATTTTTTATTTTTGCCTAAAATATTCAATGCAGTGAATTCAAATTTGGTGAGCCCTTAGTCGTTTCCACACTCATTTAAAAATTAAAAATAAATAAATAGCCTTATAGTCAAGTATTGGAATGTATCACGATTGTATCATGATCAATTGTGTATCATGATATGAATAGTATCACCAGATACAAGGACATGCACATTCTTACTGTAGAGTCAAGCACTTTTCCGATCAGTCGTCATACAGGCCTCTTCACTGCATCAGCAGAATCTGCAATGGCTGTTAAGGTTGCACTAAGCTCGGCACTTTGGCTGTTTATGCAAACATCTGAGATAAGGGTCTCAGGCAGTAAACCAACTCAAAACATGACTTTTTGAGAAGCCTGATCTTACAGTTGTACTTAAATAAATATGTTTTCTCCACCATAGCAAACATGGCATGAGCTCTGGACAGTAGTGTCCACAGTCTTTGAGGCAGGAGGAGCTACAGGAGGAGCTGCAGGACTCGAGGCAGATGTTCACTGTGGCCTCAGGCAGGAGCAGCAGAGCTCTGCCATATGGAGGTAGACAGAGGGGTCCAGCTTGTTTCCACAGGCCTACAAAGAGTCCATTCATCAGGACAGGACAAGACGTGGGGCGTAGCTTGCCCCTTGCCCCATAAATGGACCACACAACACATGTCTTCATTGGAGAAATCCTGTGCATGTAGAATGAAGTCGAGAGAGGAAGAAGACTAGTGTTTCTTGTAAAGACTGTCCACATGACAAACAGCCTGAGCTCAGTGCCTCTCTCACCTGTCCCACACTATCAGCCCCATCTGCAGCTGTCAGCAGCTCCCACAGCGCTGACAGGGAGGGGCCTGGAGCAGCTTCTGCCTGATCTCTGAGTACTCACCTATTTGCACCACAAACCCAACCAGATAGTCTCCAGTTTGCACACAAACAATATTCATGTGAGGTACAAATATTTGCTAAATCAAACATTACCATCACTCATCAAAGACCTATTTCTATGAGAATATAAATACGTTATTATTGTGATATTTTTGTCTTGCAATTTGCATTGAATCGCAAAAGACAAATAACAAAAAAAGCACATAACATTAATGACCTTCAAATGCATTTATATATAATAAATATATAGTATATACTTTTTTCTATATGGATATCGCGATAATAATATTTTTTGGATATATCGTGTAGCCAATATAATATATATATACATATATATATATACACACACATATATATATATATATATATATATATATATATATATTCATCTTCATTCTGTTTTCATGTCTGTTCTGTTAATTTCCTGTCCCGCCCTAATGTGTTTCACCTATGTGTCCCCGTGTGTATTTAAACCCTGTGCTCCTCTCCCCTTGTTGTCGGTCCATTGCGATTTTGTCCCTGTTTTGTCCTGGTTTGAGTTTTTAGTTCTGTATCCTGGATTTTGTTTTTGTTTATTACATTTATATATTTTGGCAGTCCTGCATTTTGGGTCCTTCATCCTTTTCAGAACGTGACATTTACAGCTGTTGGATTTAGCAGATTCTCGGCTTTAAAATGAGGTATAACATGTCTTCAACATGTCTATAAAAATTCTCTATAACATTCAGGTCTATATTGGTTACAGTTTGACCAAATGATTTATTATTTGAGTGGAGGCTGTAACATACAATAATTATACAAATCTGAAAGTCTGAAATCTCGGCTGATCAAAGGTTCCTCGCTAGTTAAAAATCTGCAGATTGAATTGGCAAACCAATAAATGATGTGAGTGCAAAGAGCAGCCTGACCTCAATCCTGAGTGGCTGAGTGGATAGCACTCTCGCCTCTCAGCAAGAAGGTCCTGGGTTCGAATCCCAGTTAGAACAGGGTCTTTCTGAGGGGAGTTTGCATGTTCTCCCCGTGCCTGCGTAGGTTTCCTCCGGGTACTCCGGTGTCCCCTACCACTAAAACATGCTCACTAGGTTAAATCCTCAGCTCTGGTAGTCGACCATCAACATCTGGAGATGGGTTCCCGGGCGCTGTACTACGGCGACCACTGCTCCTGACGTAAGCCTTCGTGGTATCAGGATGGGTCAAATGCAGAGGATTAATAAAGAGCACCTTTACCTTTACTTCAATAGTACAATTATCTATTTGCCTGAGGAAGACCACGTGACCAAGTGAAAAGCTCACGCTGTCAGACAAAACCAGCAGAAATTGTACAGTTCTCGTTAATTGTGCAAGATTTGTCAGTGAAATTATTAGACTATGGCCAAAGTAAAATAACAGGCTTGTGAACCACAGCAACAAACAGAATGCAAACAACAGTCATAGCAGCTCATATTAAAGTTGGGGTACCTAAATTTGAAAAGAATTAAAAATATATATATAGTCAATCTAACAAAATCTTTTTATATATTCGTTTGTTTGAATGGATGGATGGGTTTCTGCTGCTTGACACCTGAATTTCTCCTATGGGGGATCTATAAAGTATTTATAAGATAAGAGATATTTTATTCATCCCACAGTTGGCAAATTTCAATGTTGCAGCGCACATACAGGACAGTAGTAAGAGCACACAGGGAGCACACAAAATATACAAAATAAGTAGCTGCTATGTGTGTGTATCTATATCTAGTTTTCACATGCATCTATATTTGGCCGATATAGTTGGAGAAGTGAAAAGTCAGCCCTCTCTCAGCCATTTACTGTAGCTCTCAGTATGTACATAAGCGGCGAAATGTAATGTTTTCTAATAAGATAAAGACAAGGTTGTGGTCTGATACATTCTCAAGTGTTACGTAAACAAGCAAGCATTTCTGTCGGGAAAAAAATATGTATTTAGGTTCTCCAGCTTTAATCAACCATAGAGTACAGGGGGAAACGCACGTTGGGGGACATTGGTGCAGCTAGTTTCATACTGAATGAAGAATGCTTTCGTGACTCACAGCGTGTGTCCGCAGACGTTCACCATCAGCTTCAGAGACGGGTTCCTGTATTTAGTAGTTTTGCATCGGGGACATCCTTGGTCATCCATTTCTCTGGCAAATAAATGGGAAAACGAGTGAGCGACGGTTTGTTTATCTCTGCTTCCGGATGTGAGTTACACAAAATACGGTCCGGGAAATAACGCAGCTGCAGAATAGAAAGTTCCTCTTCTCATTGCATCTCCTTTCAACTCCACCTTGAGTGCCCTATGTTTACACACATTCATGAACTGCTGAACTGGAAGTATGCAGTGTGTTGGGTAGAAGACATTGGATGTATTTATAAGAGAATATTTAAGATCTGTATGCAAATCTGAATCCTGAATCCTTGGAATACTTTAAAACACATTTGAATGTGTAAAATACATCTTAGAAATAAAGATTATTTCTGCAATGTTTTCTTTGTATGTTTTGTTTTCTTTTGTCATAAAATCAAACGCATCCACATGGACCACTGGGAGTTTTGTTTCATTTTTTCTTTGCTGAATAAAGTTGCAGAAGTAGTGGTAGTAGTAGTAGTAATAGTAGTAGTAGTAGTAATAGTAGTAGTAGTAGTAATAGTAGTAGTAGTAGTAATAGTAGTAGTAGTAGTAGTATACCAGTACTGTGTGGGCAAACCTACATTATCACATTATGAGCTGTTATATCACATCATTTTTTTAAAACTCAACCCAATTGTAAGTATAAGTTCCATTCACCAACTACAGGCTATTATACTGCATCCTATACCACTTTCAATCAGAGAGCTACTTTTGCAAAACGGAAGTTGATGGGAGCTATTCTCTTAAGTGACCATAAAATTGCTGTCTATGAGTACTTTTGTGACTCTGTCCGTGAAATTTTCTATCTACAGTAAATAAATATTACTTACTTTATAATAACAGGCTAACCACGGCGAACACCTGCTTGCAAACAAACTGTTTATCAGTGGCATTTAAATGTAAATGATGTAGTAAAAATGCAATTATTATGCCCTGTGTGTGGCATTCATGAACGCTGTCTTGCCTTGCCTTGTTAAGACAAATACTTTGACCATCTCAACCTTGTTATACTTATGTGTTTTAAAACAGGAAATAGCAAATAACTCTTATAATAATAATGTATCCATTTTTAAAGATTTTAACTTGTTTATTAGTCCTTTAGCTTTATTTCACATGCATTGTCCAGCAGACGTGTTCTCCATCAGTTTATATAAATGAGTGAGCAACAAAAACATTATGTTCCTGAAGTTTCCAGCCCGCACATCGCACAGGTGAACTGTGGGAGACCTGAGCAGTGACAGACAGCCCAAAGCCAAACAGCGCTGCTCTGGATGGCGCTCGCTCCTCCCACACGGGCCCAGGGCGGCCAATCGTGTGTGTCCCGCGGATAGACCCCAGTGAGGCTCCGCGCGGCTCAGTCCCGCAGAGGAAAAGTCACGTTGGGTAGAACAGGCAGCGAGTATCTGCTTACAGCGGCTGTCAGACATCTGATCACATTCGCATGGCGAGGAGGTAACCTGAGAGAGCTGGGAGGAGTGACTTTTACACAGAGGGTTCAACAAAAAAAATGTCTTCCTCTTCTGCCGGAGTAGTCACAAGAGCAACTGATATCAAGAGAGAAAATGTGAAAGACGCGGAAAAGTGCATCAGGCTCGAGGCGCTGGACGCGGCGGAGTTGTCCATGGAGCGCGCTGCTCCAAACGCAGACGCGGTGCGCGCAGAGCTGCTGGTGAGCGCTGCGTCCTCTTTGGCCTTTTCACCGGAGCAAGTGGCATGTGTCTGTGAGGCACTGCAGCAGGGAGGCAACGTGGAGAGACTGGCCCGGTTCCTTTGGTCACTGCCGCAGAGTGACTTGCTTCACGGCAATGAGAGCATCCTCAAAGCCCAAGCCCTGGTCGCGTTCCACCAGGCGCGTTACCAGGAGCTCTACAGCATCTTGGAAAATCATAGTTTCAACGCAACTAACCACACCTTCCTCCAAGATCTGTGGTACAAGGCCCGCTACACCGAGGCCGAGAAGGCGCGGGGGAGACCCCTGGGTGCCGTGGACAAATACCGGATTAGAAGGAAATACCCTCTCCCCCGGACTATTTGGGATGGAGAGGAGACTGTATACTGCTTCAAAGAGCGTTCCCGAAATGCGCTCAAGGATCTATACAATCAAAACAGATACCCTTCCCCGGCTGAGAAGAGAAACCTGGCCAAGATCACAGGACTCTCCCTGACCCAAGTCAGCAACTGGTTCAAAAACAGAAGACAACGGGACAGGAACCCCTCCGAGGCTCAGTCTAAAAGGTGACTCATCACAAACTTCTCATGATACTTCATTTAGGCCTAATCTGTTGTACGTTTTAGGTGGGTTTAATTCAGATCATTCAGATGGTGATTTTAAAGTGCGCTGCTTTGGGGTCACTTAATTTTACGCATGTCGCGCTCTCCCTTCGTTCCATCGTTTTTACAAAGTAGTCTGAATCCAAACTCCTCTTTATTCATATTGTATAAAGAAAACTACAAGAACTATAGTTGTAAATAGTTCGAAGCATGCCTTTAATGTTTTGAAATATGAGGCTGTTGCCCTTCAGATCCGGTTTCAAGTGTGTAGGGCATGGAAACCATATAGGCAACACAAGTACTTGGGTACTGCCTCAAGAGCTTCCTCACAGATTAGATAAACCTTGCTTTTCAATTTGTTTGTAAATGTACCACACAACGATATTTCACATTTTCTCGGATGAAAGTATCCTTTTGAATCCCGGGCTCAAACACACTTTCATGATCCCTCAGACGAGAACAAAGCAAGCGCACCTGGTGGCGTCTGTGACACTGTCTCTTTCACACGCACTAGAATTCCTCTTTTAAAAAATGTTAAGCTATTTACCTCCGTAGACGATTTCAGTATATAGTGCCTCATCAGCATTGTGTTTTGTGAGCCCTGGTGGCATTTTGTCACAGCTGAATTTATTGCACCAAATGGTTCCACGCTTGATGTTGTTTGAGAGTTGGTGTCAGGGGCCTTCTCCACATGGGGTAAGGGGGGTGCTGCATTCATAACACTAAAGACAGACATAGGGACAAATGTAGGCCTCACTGGGAATGACTCTGATATGATTCAGTGATAATAAGACTAGGATAACAGCATATAAATAATGTAAAGCCCTTCTTGTCTCTCCACAGTGAGTCAGATGGAAACCACAGTACAGAAGATGAGTCCAGTAAAGGCCACGATGAGCTGTCTCCTCGTCCCCTGTCAAACTCCTCTGATGGCGTGATCACACATGGATCATTACCTCTCCAGACCGGTGGCATGGACACAGGCATGGTGATTCAGCAAATCGGAGACATCAAATCGTCACCAGGTTCCACCAGTGCATCGCTGTACAATGGAAGTTTGGTCAGCAACAACTCTTTCCACAATGGTAGCTCATACCTGCACTCACCGGGAAATATACTGTTCAACGGACTAAGCCTAGGCATTCAACCTTTGCCTTTCAGTCCTCTGCGGCCCTCTGGGGGGATGCTTCTGGGGGGCTCTGGCCTAGACGTGCACATGCAGACTGGACAGGACAAAGCCGAGGAGACGTCTCTACAGTACGGAGCATATGCGGGCTGTGTTGTGAACGGGACTGAGGTCAAGCTGGAGAACATGCACAACATGGCCTCCCAAAATATTGCCTCATCACTGTCGTTGGGGGGCTACAGCCTGGTGCCAGTGCCCAATGCAGTGGCAGAGAATGACAACAACCCTCTCCTCAGCGGGGACGTGGGGCTTTCTCCACTACAGCTGTCATCTTCTTCTACTGTGTCTCAAGGTACACCTCATACAATGCACCCAGACATAGACACACACACATTCAGTTCATATTTGAGTCACTGTGGTCACAAATCACAAACAAGCACACAAGCCCTGCATTCTCATCAGTTGCCGGGCTTACAATTCATCAGCTAAACCTCTGTATTACCTTCAGACTACACAGCTGAACTATTTTTTCATTGTTTCGGTTCAGACAATCCAGCCTGACAATCAGTGTATTGTTTTGCATGGGTGCAGCTCTTCTGAGGGAAGCCTTAGACAAAAGGAAATCTGGAATCTCACATAATACTATCTATAGTTGTGTTCAAGCAAGAGTCATTTTTGTTCAGGTGGATAGAGTCGATTCTTGTCTTTCTGTCGTGTCCTGTCCCAGACTACAGGCCCCACACACAGGAAAGGTGCTCTTTGAACCCTCCAGAGAAAAACGAGCCACTCTGAAGTCTGCATCACTCATCATCACCGCTCCCTACGTTCCCAGCAGTTTGAGAAAATCAGGCCATCAAGCATTAACCACTGCCATTATGGTGGTGCTGATATGGAACAGACTTACACATGTCCAAGAGGCCTATTACAGTGATAGGCCGGATGTCAGTGTGGCTCACAATGGAAGGTAAAGCTCTGTAAGTGCCAACCGAAGAGACGTAATGATCAAATAAACTTCACAGACATTATCTTTGTAACCAGGAAAGTTTCTTCAATTCAATGTTTTGTTGTGTAGGCTGAAATCATAACAGTAGTCGTTTTGCAGAAAGAGGACATTATAAAGTTGTTGATTTGCCAACAACAGATCAGGGAATCAAAGAGTTCGAACACAAGCAACGGATTAATAGCAAACATGTAGGAGCCATTGGTCCATAGGGAGTGGGAAGACCAATATCCATAAATGTGGGTAAATGTCATGTCTTTCAGAGTTATTGGGACCACGTTATTTCTGTATTACCACGTCACAAGTCCAAAATGGCTTAAAATGGCTTCCTTTATCTTGATTTATCCATATTCTTTGTCTTTGTCTTCAAAACCTTGCAGTGCAGGAGCCATTTATTGATTACTTATTATAGGAAACGGAGTGATGCCTTCAGCAAAGAGAAGGAGTACAGTGACAGGAGAGGAGGGTAGGGTCAGAGAGTGTTTTGTCCTGTCTCGTCTGCGTGAGTGTGTGCTTTATATTGTGTTGTATGAGTGAGAGGATGCTTGTAACTAAATATGGATCTGCTCTGTCCTACACCTTAACTTTTTCAAACTATAATTTAGTATTGTTTTTCTGTCTTTTGCACAAACGTTAAGTGCAAAAATGAGAGCAGAGGCAGCGGTTTGGGCACGATTGACATGCCGTTTATTTTCAGTTTTCTCAGAAAGAGTTTGCAGACAATCTACATGATTTCAAGACGCACAACCAGAGATTCTAGTTCAAACAAGATTGATTTGACATAGGTTCACTGTGACCTTAAACATCTGATCCCTTGAAAATTGTGTCTTGCGTCTGTTTCTTGCAGACCACCATCCACAGTTTGAGCGATTGACTAAATTTGATGGTATAGGAAAGGTAAAATCCAAAAGGTCTCCCTCTAAATATCTGGTGTGGTAATGCAACCTTTCCTTCCTTTGCCCGCAGCCTCTCTGAACAATGTGATAGCGTCTTCGTCAAGCGCCGAGATGACCCTGGCGTCCCTCCACCACGGCACGGTCCTCTACAGCATGGGCCTCAGCTCGCACGGCTCCATCAAGAAGGAACCTCTGGATGGCAATGTGTTCTCCTCGTACCACCCGGCGATGCAGCTCGACCACGGCGCGCACCTCAGCTACAGCTCCACCCCGGACGAGCAGAACCACAGCCAGGGCTCCCTCATCACTACCTCAGAGGCCGCCGTGGTTAGCTCCTCCAGCTCTGAGAACGAAGTATACACCACTCTGACCGTGAGCACACCTCTGACGGCCCACGGAGAGCACCTGGGGTCGGCGGAGTACCTGATGAGCTCCGAGGTCAGGGCCGCGCACTTGCTCAACTCGGGCAACTACATGAATTTGTCTGACAGTAAGGAGGAGGACTCAGGAGCGGTGAGCGAGATGGTGCGGGCCATGTGTGGGGATTCGGAGGAGGGGAAAGAGCTGGCTAAACTCCAGACTGTCCAGATGGAGCAGGACATGGCCGATCTCTGACCAGACAGTGCCCACCCGGCTCTATATTAGCGTGAGAGTGTGTGCGTGTCATTTTATTTCCTCATTCTTATCTTATGATGATGTTAAATTATTTGCAAATTTTGTCTGCGTTCAGCGATGACATTGAACGCACTCTTTACGAAGACTTGAGTGTGTAACATTTTAGATGAATCCATGAAAATGCAGTGAGGTAAAAGGCCCAGACATTGATGTTGTTTGCTACTATGCAGTGAAATGAGCCCGTCTCTGTGTCCGAGCCACGGTTAAATGTACATTTTTATAGACGACACCTGTTTCTGCCCGCTGAGTGGATGTGATGTGTAGGAGCAGGTGCTGGAATGCCATATGTCATGTGACTGTCGTGTTCCTTCAAGCTAAATGCATCATCTGCGTCACACCATAAAGGTCATTTCGAGTCTTCACACATGTTTGAAAGAAGACATAATGTGCCTTTATATTTCTTGGCATTTGCACTATGGCAACCGTCCGAATATAAAGAATGTTTGTGCCTTTGACTTTGACTTTGTGAATATTATGAATGTCATACTCTTTTCAGGAAGTCAGAAGTTCAGCTTTAACCTCACAAAACTCAAAACAGAACGCTTTAGTCATTTAGTTTGGAAATGAGACTGTTATGTTTGTTGACTAAAATCATGTGAATGTATTTTTCTAATCCTCCACACTGCAATAAAACTATATTTATATAAAAATATACTTAATCTGTACATTTACAAATAGTTTAGTTTTAGTACTTTAGAATGAAATCATTTGTGTGAAAGTATGGACTTGCGAAGTGAGTGAATGGCGGGTAACTGTGATGGCTTGCACATGCCTTGCAGCCTGGACTTCATTAGCCTTCCTTCTCTCATCCAGCCACTGTAATTCAAATAAACAGAAATGAGATTTCCAGAGGTACAGCTCTTTTGGGTGGGGGGTCCAGCCCATTGGGTTTTCCCCATGAAGGCCGCTCTCCTCATTTCTCTTAGATTTCATTTAGAACATGTGGACAAGCTGTCAGTCACACAGCCCCCTCCAAAACATTGTACAAACTCCTCTTGCCAATGAAAGATGATAAATCTCCCGTCAGTACATGCTCAGCTCTGAGCAGAGGGCAGCACAGAAGTGAGGAGTAAAGACAGACAGGCCTGTGTGGTGCCCTAAATAAACAAGAGGCTGTTTGTCTGTGCTCACCGTGCAGCAGAGGAGGAATGGGAGCAACTTGGCGGGAACAGAGGTGGGAGGGGGGATTGGGTTACCTGTGCACAGGTGACCTGTTCGCTATGGGCAGTGGATTAGCTGATTGTCAGGTATCAGATGACTCCTCCTGTAATATTGAAGAGGGTGAAAACAGCTTTGTTGGAGCCCAGAACAATATCCCATTGGCATCAGGAGCCTGCAGTGTGTGAGTCTCACGGGGAGGGGGCAGGCAAACCCTGAACCTTTGTACTGCACCAAAAGAGAAACTGGAGTTTATTTCTATGAGAACAAAGAGTTACTGACTTCATGTCCTTCAGGCGAAGCTCATATACATTACCAAGTCTGTATGAGAAATAAATATACTTTTAATTAAAAGACAAACCATTGACAGAGCCAAAAGGTAAAGATTTCCCCGAAGTGTGGCCTTATTAAAGACATGATCTGTGCTCCTTCACGGGCTCCGAAAGCTGACATTTAATGCAACACATGAACTGGAGGCTGCATGTAACCTGAGGATGGAGCTTCAGCCCCACTAATGAGAGGTCAGTGGTCAAGACTGGACTCTGCTGCTGCAACACCAGGCTATCTTATGTTTGTGCTTGAATACAGCTCGATTAAGTCAGTCATACACATTTATAGTCATCAGAACCTTTAGTCACTGATAAAAATAAAAGCTCAGGACTAACATAAGTTTGATCAGCTCTTGATAATTGACAAATACAACTCGTAGTGATCACTGCGGTCCATTAGAAGCAGAAAGAAAATTCATGTAATGCTTGTAGTCGTCATAATTAGCTACAGTTTCATAAACTGACCGAATTAAGAAATTATTTAATTATTATTTCACAATTTTACATAACATTTTGAAAAAACTTCTCATTCTAAAAATCCTTATACTGTTGTTGTTGTTGTTGTTGTTGTTGCACTGGTGATGCGCTTCTCTAATTCCGGAACACAAATATTGGGTTAAACAAGTGTCCTGACGGTGCAGCGTGTTGTGGAGACCCGGGTGCGGTTGTTATGTTATTAGTGTTTGAGGGGGACATCAGTGACGGAGGGCCCGGCCCCATGTGCACTTATGGCAGGAAACTTTGTTAAGCTGATAATTGCAGCTCCAATTTCATTGAACTCACTCATGTCAACAGTTGTGTTGTGTTTAGAGAAAGCTGCGTTTCTTCTCTACCTCTCACCTAAGCCAATAAAAGCACTTTTAATTTGGAACACATGGAGCAGAGAGCAGGATAGACTCACGTAAAACACCTGACAAACACCCAAAACTCATATTTGTGACGCTTTTCTGCAGTCAGCTCATGCGCTCCTTCGGATTTCAGAGAAGAGCGTGAATGACCCGGGCTCACGGTCCGACGTCCAGGCCACATGTGGGGCCATCTGGAACAACAGCGCGGCCTGACATTTATTTACTGCCACTGTTTAAAATGGACACAGCACGTGTGCTATTCTACTACACTTAATTATTAAATTCACCAGACGTTACATAATTATATTTTTAAATATATAACAATCTGGTTTTCTATGGCCAATTATAAATCACTCACACATTCATGTGTTTGTGACAGCTGAGCTGCGATTGACTTTGGGCAGAGGAGGGTCCACACTCCACATGTTGAAATAATCTGCTGCTGCCCTGGAGCTGCTGGGGTTAAAGGAGGAGTGAGAGGCGCGCCACAATGTGCTACAGATATTAGCGAAACCCGAGAGGTGCGCAGTGAACAGCTCATTCTCACAGCGGCCTTTACTCATTACAGCGCGGACCCTCGAACCAGAGCAGCAGCAGCAGCAGCAGCAGCAGCAGGAGGACACAGTTTAATAACGTGCTGTGGTGACTTCAGATGAAGTAAAAGAGCCTGCAATTGAAGCATCCATGTTATCCTGATAAATAGGCATGGCAAGTTTATTTGTATTGCACATTTCATACACAAAGCAACTCAAAGTGCTAAACAAAAAAAATATGGAAAAAATCCTACAAGGCATTAGAATCATAAATAATCATCATACATTGACACACTTACACTTATCCTGATGATGTTCAGAGATAATATTGTAAAGGCTAAAGGCGATTACATGCCCTGCTCCATATACCATCCATCCATCCATCCATTTTCTTCCCCTTAATCCATTTCTGGGTCGGGGGATGGCAGTCACAGCTGCACCCAGTATAGCACCAGCCCATGTAGGCCTAAACATTTCAAGTATTGATTGACAGGACAAGTTCTGTCAATCAAGCCTTCCAGTTTTCGGTCTAAAAACGATGTTCTTTCAGCCGCACAAACTGACAAAAAACCCTTCTGCAACCGATGAGTCACTGGGTTTGTGTAGTGTGTAGTGTGTGTGCACGTGCAGTAAGTTAAGACTGGTTAATAACGCGAAGCGCGCGCACACACACACACACACACACACACACGGAGTGGGTTGGGTTTAGCTTTTAACGAGGTCTTCATTTTTCTATAGGTCAAGTCGCGCTCCTGGGCGCACAGTGCGGAGTGGACTCTGGTTTCACTTTGGTAGAGATAAAGAAACGCGATCTGTCCCTTAAAACCAACAACTGCTCCACGGAGCAGCCACTGTCGCGCACAACTCATTTACTAATGGAGTGGTTTCGAGTTTCCAGTCCGCTGCTGCAGTCGTGGAGCCAGCACGGTGCCCGTCTGATCCCAAACAGGCCTACACAGCTACACACCCGGACAGTGAACACGTGACCTGCATCCACAGATGCAGAGTCTGAAATGATGCTGTGTTTGTGACACGCGTGCTGTCGTCTCCGTGTGAGTGCATGAACAGGTTTCTTTAAGCCACAGTTTCATAAACTGACGGAATTATGTCACCTCGTAAAATAAACATCTCGCACACTAATGAACGCACGAGGCCTGGCGTTAATTAAGGACCGTGCTCAGGCCTCTGCTTTATAGGCCTGCGCACAGGTCTACTGTGCACGCTCAGGACGTGAGTGCCCACACATGACCCTGGCGAGACTTTTAGCACCCGATCAAGATATGTAACTAAAGACATACAAATAGGGTGAACTAACCAACCGCGTAAGAAAATATTCTAAGCAGGTTTTCTCACGTCTATAGAACACACTCTGTGAACGCTGATCAGTCCATCAACTCAAGGTTTGAGATGACGTCAGAAGTTAGAAGTTAGTTTTATGTTCCGGTTGATCTACTTTGACATCAACAGATTTTGTGAAAAATACATATCCATAAATACATGTAAATATATGTAAGTGTTTCAGAAATTGTGTTTTTTCCTTATTCAACATAATAGTATAGGGTTTACGTTGACTTTGTGAATCATGGTAATTCTCTGGATTATGTTAAGAGGATGTTGGAACATACACCTCATTATGAGCATCTATAAAACACCAAATTGTGTTTTATATAAATTGTAATAAATGAAATCAGTGAGTAAGTAAGTTACTTCGTAAATGAAGGCCCCTGTGCATGTTGTATAGGCCTATGTGTGTGTCCAGTGGGCTGTTGTGTCCCTCTGTGAACATGCGGAGGAGATTGCCAAAACTCCCAGTTGGAGGAGTGGTGAACAACCTTATGATTTTCACATGTTTTCAAAAGTCTACTTTTATTGAAGTGTCTATGGCCTGTCTCTCAGAACTGTTTTTTCTGTGCGCTGGGGGTGGATGGTGGCGGAGGGGGAGAGCGCTCCGGTTTCAGCCCCTGACGCACTGCCTCTGGGGAGGAAACGGAGCTGCACAAGTCTTGCGCTCTGCGGAACGGGGTAGTGGGCAGAACGGCAAGCCAATCACCAACAGCACAACGGCTTCAAGTCTGACATATCTGCAACAAGAACAAATTGTCCAACAATCAACATCCGCGATCTGCCGCGCATCACAACGGCCCAAGGCGGCGGACCCTGACGCGCCAGGACCGGACAACAACGGCGAGACAAAATAGGAACTCAAAATGTCCATCCTGCCGTCCTTCGGCTTTACGCAGGAGCAAGTAGCGTGCGTGTGCGAGGTCCTGCAGCAGGGAGGTAATCTGGAGCGGCTCGGCCGCTTCCTGTGGTCTCTACCGGCCTGCGACCACCTCCACAAGAATGAGTCCGTGCTCAAAGCCAAAGCCGTGGTCGCCTTTCACCGGGGCAACTTCCGTGAGCTTTACAAGATCCTGGAGAGTCATCAGTTCTCCCCACACAACCACCCCAAACTACAGCAGCTGTGGCTTAAAGCGCACTACGTGGAGGCGGAGAAGTTGCGCGGGCGGCCGCTCGGAGCCGTGGGCAAGTACCGTGTGCGGAGAAAATTCCCCTTGCCTCGGACAATTTGGGACGGAGAGGAGACGAGCTACTGCTTCAAAGAGAAGTCCCGAGGAGTGCTGAGGGAGTGGTACACGCACAACCCGTACCCGTCTCCAAGGGAGAAGCGAGAGCTGGCCGAAGCCACGGGGCTCACCACCACACAGGTCAGCAACTGGTTCAAGAACCGGAGACAACGGGACCGGGCCGCGGAGGCCAAAGAGAGGTACATGAGCACGGATGACATGTTTACAGAGACAGAGACGATCACAAGGACACAGACTGTGATGCTTAATGCTTGTATAAGTGAAGGTTATTTACATATAAAAGCAAATATAGTTTAATATACACGCACACACACACTCTCTCTCATTCATACATACACACACATACACACACATACACACGCGCACACACACACAAACACACACACAAACACACACCCACACGTACACGTAAACATGTGTGTGGGTGTATATGGTGTATTATATATATTTATACACACGCACATATGTGTTTATATATGTGTATATATATATATATATATATATATATATATATATATATATATATATATATATATATATATATATATATATATATGTGTATATGCCTTTTATTACTATGATGATATTATATAGAAATAGGAATGAAATAGTTATAATAAAACACACACACACACACACACGCACATTCCATACAAATGATATGAATACGGCTTATACATATAATTGAATACACCTAGAAAATAGTAAATTTATTGTGATAACTGATAGTTATTACAGTAAATACATGTGTTAGTTTTGTGATACAAAGTACATAATACGTTCTATTTAAATGTTGTTTCCAGAGAAAACAGTGAGAACAACGGCGCAGGCGGAAACAAACAGAACCAGTTGTCTCCTCTTGATGGAGGGAAGTCGCTTATGTCCAGCTCCGAGGACGAGTTCTCACCGCCACAGAGTCCAGAGCCAAACTCTGGGCTCCTTCTGCAGGGAAACATGTCCCATCCGGGCTCATACCCGCTCTCCGGCCTGGGCGCGCCTCCGCCAGTGCACGGCATGCACGGACACGCGCACCAGCTACAGGACTCTTTGTTGGGACCTCTAACCTCCAGTCTTGTGGATCTAGGGTCTTAAGGACGCACGGGGCTCAAAGCAGCGGACTGACAGAGTATCATTTATGAGTATGTATATGATTCAATATTGTAGCTACTTTAACCTAGATGGACTGCCTGTCGTTCACTTCGGCTAAAAGCAGAACTCTTTACGCGCTTAAAAAGGTCATCCAAACATTTTTTTTTCCCAACGAAACACTTAGGGTACAGCACCCTTTTGCTTATTTATAAAATTTTGTTAAAGAACTATCAACTTTCAGCGATGGAAACTAAGAGGTTTTTCTTTAGAGTCATAATTAGTTTCCAATAAAACCAAAAGTGTAAATGTGCCTGTGTAGTTTGTGCAACACGTGACCAAATTATTCATTTTGTTGTTCACATTGTCAACCTTCAAACCATTGTGAGTCCGAGAACAGACATCGGCTCTTGAGTCCGAGACGTGGGAAATGCAGTTATAATAATGCAGTTGATTATTTTTATTAAATAACAGAGTCATGAACCAAAGTGGATCTGGCTGTGACCGGGGAAGCAGCCACGGTCCGAGGACAGTGCTAGCGAGGCCTGCGCCGTACCGTGCGCCCGGGCTCATGTCAGCCTAAACTGTTTTGAACAGAGAGCACCGAGGATTTCCTGAGCCTAATCTGAACCAGTCGCAGTCCGCATTACGCGCTGATTACGGCGGAGATTGGCGGTGCCTCGCTTTGAGGGCCCCATGCATGAGGATCCTCCAAGAGGCCTCCATGCTCTCCTAACCATCACTCTCTCAACATAACATTCCATCTGGAGCCAGGGACTGTCCTCAGCAGACCTCCAACCACAGTGTTATCTTAAACAGACCTACTAGTAGCAGTAGTAGTATAGTAGGAATGGACCATATAACTACCAGTATATGGTGTATGAGTAAAAGCATGGGCCTAAGCAAAAGTGTACTTTCCGACCATTTATTACACTAAATGCACAGACCTACGCATTTCCCATTCCTTGTATTTATCCCTAAACCACAAGAATCCATTTTAGACTTTTCAGAGCCAGCCAAAGTGTATTTATCACCTAGTAACTTATCACGTGACTTATCACATTTACATTTAAATCCATAACTACAAAAGATAATAACAAATCTATCCGGGAGTGATGCACTTGCATGCAGGTTTCAAAAGTAGACATTGAATCAAGGTGTGATACCTTGATCTATAGGCATTGAGATGAAAAAGAGAATAATCAAATAGAATAAACAGAAATAATTGAATATTTATGATGAGAGTCTTTAATAATTAATGTTTGAGTATGTGCCGATGAGTGCAGAGGTCTCTCAGGATCTGAATATGAGGCTATATTTTACTATAGTATTATCTATACTATAGTATAGATAATACTATAGTATTCTCTCTGGATTTGGATCACATGCACAGCAGCAGCAGTGGCAGTGACAGTAGCGGGGGCATGGACACGGCTCTCTGCACAAGCCTCTCGGTGTCACCTTGGGATGTGCTCAATCCAACATGGATGTTCATTTTGGACTTTTAATAAGACCACAATCCCCAGCATTAAATGGGGACTATGGGACTTCCACAGTGGTGTGTCTCTGTGCAGAGGATGGAGCTGTGGACACAGGGGAGAGGTAGAGGGACCCTGCTCAACAGCTGCTGAGGGCAAACATACAGCGTCATCCATAGCCCTTCATTTGGAGTAGACTGAAGTGGCACTGGCTTTAAATCAACAGCAGGAAGGTTCCTAATGTGTGCAAATAAACACAGAGAGTAGCCCGCATGAGCATAGTGCCTGCCAGGTATGTGTGTATGTGTGTGTGGAGGAAACAGAAGGGACAAAAGGATCTTTTCAGGTCTGAGAGCCAGAGGCGGGGGCTCAACACTGAGTAGGAGGGCACAGGGATTCTATTACCAATGATGCATGAATCTGACAATATTGCCTCAGTGCCCATAAGCGTGTGTGGCTCGCGTTCACATATCACTCCCCAAATGACTCTGCTTGGTTATAAATTTCCTTGATAACAAACTGCATATTATCTTTACAATCCAAGTCAATAACTGACAATGGCAAATACATGTATGTAAGTATGTATTCTTGGCCAAGCAGGATTATCTGGACTTGTTGACCAATCCAGAATTATCAGTTATATTCAGACATACAACCACAAAAGATGAGTCACTAAAAAATAATGTGAGCCGGTGTGCACATGGCCCAGTATGTGCCCTCCCAGTACCTCAGCCAGCCTGTAACCGAGCCCCTCTGAGCCCATACCCCATCTCAATCACACATACACATAATCTACAGACGTCTGAGACAAAGAACCTGTCCTGGTTCCAGTCAGGAAATGAAAGTGGAAACCTGATCCAGTGTGTGCCAAACGTGTCTGAGAGCAGGGACAAAGCTGCAGAGAAAAGCTGAGACCCACAAGGGAGTGGCGAGTGGCCAGGTTTGGGCATCGCAGAAATTAAATCCAGCAAAAAGTTTCTTTCCAAAAAATGACTCATAATGACACAAGAAAAAAATGCACTATCAGTAAGAAAATTTCTTGCGCAGCTCTACCAGTTTGTGTAGCTTATGCAGAATTAGTTCTATATCCTTCTGCTTATATCATTTCTACAAACTAATAAACAACGAGACTTAATGAACACATACAATAATAGTCCATATGAGTGCAACTTAAAGGGCCGGTATGTAAAATTTAAATAACAGGTCACATGTACAAAGTGTAAATGGATCTTTTTTGAACAACAATTTAAAGTGAAGTCACTCTTAACTGAAAATACAATGGACAAAATTTTGATAATATTTATCTTTACAAGCAGATCATCCAATCGGCGGATTGAGTCTTTCATTTGGTTTGCCAGTTTATTAGGTCAAATATAACACTAATCTTTTTTAGGTTTCAAACATGAAGGAGCACCACACATATTTAAATGAAACCAGATACAAAAATAAGTAGTCATTGGGAATGCATAGAGTTTTGTGCTGTTTCTAAAGCTAAACTCCAGCCGCTCATGGCTTGCATCCGTAATCAGTGCTTAGCGGCGCCATGTGTCACAGACAAAAGTGTGATTGTAACTGTATTGACTTTATCAGACCACAAATAGTGCACATGACATACAGCCGCTTTAAAGACTATAGTTTAGCTGCTCTAAAAGTCACAAATCCACGACTAACAAATAGTTGAGTGATTGTATGGAAAGAGCAGTGGAAGCGTCCAGTCTGGAGGGAACTTCTACTGAACTACTAAAGTTCCCCAGCTCCACATCCACATGCAGTATATCCACACAGCAAGCAAAATAAACTTCCCATTCCGGCCTGTGCTGGGCCTCTCTTGAGAACCCTCTCTTTTACAGCGAGGTGCAGCCGAGTGTGTCCAGTGTGAGGGCAGCGCAGAAAGACACACGTTTGATGTTTAACAAGCACATCGGCAAAACAACACCGCAACCCTTGTTTGCTTTACCCCCAGCTATTGGTTTAATGGAGCGGAAGGATTGGAGGACTGGTGGATTGCGGGACATGTTTTAAAATGGGGGAGTGAGATTGTGTTTTTGTGGGATACTTTAAGTCTATTGTGGGATCTTTCTGAGTTACCTACTTGTGTACATACAAAGTGGTTCTCAACTGGTGGGTCAGGGGAGAATTATCACTGGGTTGGATTTACTTTGGCAACATTTCTAAGATTGCAGGAGAGTGTGACCTACTACCCTGCAAAATATTGGAAATGTTTTGGGAAGAGAATGCCATTGAATTCAGAAATGTCCATCATAAGGTTCATAGTTCACGGTAGATAACTGCTAAATCCACAGAACACTAGATAAAAACCTAATTTACTGTATTACTATATTAGCAGATTTCTTGAAAATATTTGTATCGTCTATGTCCTTGATTCCAGAACCACTTTGAGTTCTTCTGTTCATATTTCTTTGCTTTGGAGTACTATTCAATGCTCACAAAACGATATTTTTTTAAAGTATACAGTATTTTACATGTTTTATTTTTTAAAGAATGATAATTGTACAGTAGTGTTGTGAATTGATGGAGGGTCCCACCCAGTTCCAGTTGAAAACCACCGTACAAAGGCACTTGAAGAGAGAAGCCACTACTGACCCACATGAACAGGGAAACTTCCATCTATTTGGTATTCAAATCTCTACTACAAGCTGGAAAGTGGAGACAACACAAACTAACAATGAATCATTTTACAAAGAAAATGGTTTTGTCCACAAGTTATTGATAGATAATTGGATGTAGTAAATTCCGTGACAGACCTATAGTAGCTCTCTGTCCAGTCCAACCAAACTTTATGAATATGGAGTTTATGGGCTGATTCAAAACATTCAACTGATACAAGCTAATACATTATGCAGAACTCACACACATGCTTCGTCCATACACTAATGAAACTTATACACTATAGTTGTACTCATATATTGTCAAATTGTCAATATAAACTACAGTATGGAATAATGGCCTTCCTGCCTATAATCAATTATTTTTTGTGGATGGGGAGCAGATTTACACTCACTTCTGATCAGTCTGTGGTGGGTCTGTCTGCGATGTTGTGAGGCGTAAATAGTGACCTGGTCCTTTTTGTAACTCTGTAACATTCCAAGATGAATCACCTGGAAGGACATTACAACATTGATGATTGATTGTTTTTGGTCAAAATAGACAAACCTATCACACCAATGGATAAATGTCCAGGAAGAAGAACTAAAGACAGACTGGAGATCCAAATCGACACAGATATAAGAGCATCCTAAAAGTATATATATGTGTGATTAAATTTATATGAATGCAGGGGGTATTTCTCCTACAATTTTTGCACCAATGACAGAGATTCAGTAAGTAAGAGACGGTGAGTCTGTGAGAGAAGTGTTATTCTTACAAACTAAAGACTGCAAAAGCAAATTAGAACCCAGGGAGGACACAACGGCACTAGTCACCCACGCGGCTCACACTTCACTACCTTTTCCTTCCCATTTAAGTTCAACATTGTTATTCTGAAAAAAAAAAAAACGGTCGGCCACA